TGTGAAGCAGCGTTTCCCAACCTGGTTTATGTATACCGAAGCATACTCCAAGGCGTACACTGGTGTTCTCAATAGGTAACTCAAATGGTTAATGGTAGAAATATGTTGAATCTAGAATCTTGAATCTTAAATTTAAAACCGTTTTAGAAATATGCTATACTATAAAAAATTAAAATGTCTGTCATGCCATGTTTTATTAATTTTCAAGTTGAAGTAACCATTATCTCTTCATCTCTTGTGAACTGAGTATAGGAAAATTTTCTGCTAGACAGTTTTCAAAAATGAAAATCGAAGAAATATTTTCTATTATACTACATGTAAAAAAACAGCTCATGATTGTAAAACATTAACTTTGTACATTATTTTGAACAATCATTTAATTTAACTACTTAAAAAGTATTTATACWGAAAAAGAGTAAGAAATATACATAATATAACAATTTAGAAATGTTACCTAATTATATTGTTTGTCATTATCCAGAATAMATTTTTGATGTTTTTATAACTGATTCATTATAAATCACTTGATAAGTGCATTAATTTGATACCTATTTAATGTACAACCTTTAATTWTTTTTTTTATGGTATTTTTATTTTAGAAAAATCTGAGTCACATTTAGAAACTCCATTGGAAGAACGTGTAGCAGAGCTAAGGCATAGATTAAGAATTGAAGCAGCGGTTGTAGAAGGAGCCAAAAATGTTATTAGAACATTACAAAGTTCCAAAATTGCAGAAAAAAAAGCTCTTCAAGAAGTAAGCATTTTTAAACTTATATATACAATATTCATTTTTGTATGCAGAGAAACAAACTACAATACAATTCAATGAGTTACAAAATGTATACATATTCAACCAGTCAACCTACATATGAATATAATTGTTGTTTTTAAACAGTCAAGTTTTATTAAAGCTAGATTTGTATACAGGACACCACATCATACCCATATGTGTTACAGATGTGCAACATATCATATTTTTTGTTAWRCAGTTCCATTCTTGTGTAGTTAATCTTATTAATTCACTGAATTGGGTATTCAATTAGTATGTAACATACTGGTCAAAAATGAGTTTAATATGTAACCTATTAAGATGATTATCCATGTATTATGTACATACTACATACGGCCGTACCAATCTATGAAATACAAAATTAATTTTTTTTAAATATTTTTAAATAATGCACAAAAAGCATATTGCTAAAAAAAATTTTATAATGAAACAGTTTTATGACACCTTTTGAATAAATTTGGCATATTGCTATAATGGGTATACRAGTAGTATATTTTTTTCATTGATATTTTGTTATACTAATTTTGAATCAAATTCATTCCTGCATTATTTTATATTTGTGTTATTTATTAATTATTAATAATTAAGTAACATAATTTTATGATTTTTAATTTGACTAAAAATACTAAGTGAATACCAGAATACCTAATATGATGGTAGATTATGGGATCTGGTTGGTCATATACTAAACAAGTACTATGAATTGWCCTATTATTAAACTTAAAGGTTATAACATATCTGTGTTTATTATATAAATTTAAAATTTTCGTTATTTAGATATCAAATTTTACAATTTAAAAATTCTCTAAAACTCGCCTAAAAATTACAATATCTTTCAAAAAAACCTCTAGAAAACACCAATAATGTTCTTATCTTTCTGTTTGAAAATAAAGGTGAATTTCACCTATTTATGTATTAAAGCTAAACACACAAAACTATTGAAGTAAATTTTGTTATGTTGTAAGTTTATAAGGCAGACATAATATAATATGTGGGCACTGGGCATGGATTATGTGGTATGTGTCCTCTCTTAACTTTAATCTAACCTTGGATCAGATTTCTATATCATTATTTTGTGTTGAGTTTACTAGGTATCAAAATGTTTGTTTTGAAATTTACTTAAAGTAAATGTAACTTATAAATATCAATATAATTCTTCATTAATTTGTATAGGAGATTGAAGTCACCCGTAAACAATTATGCCTAATTTCAGGGATTTGAAAAAAATTCTTTACCGATTATTATTGCTATTATTTTAAAATAGAATAAAACCACTTAGATAAGTTGTAGGCTTCTTCAATGACATATTTTTGAATATTGATATACCGATTTATTGATATCTCTATCAATGTAATTGACTACGTTTCAGTCACACGGGCGTTTTACTGACAGGCGTCTTAATGTCTGTTGTTGAATTATGTGATTTTCTGCTAGGTGGTTCACACACTTGACATACATTGGATTTACCGTCCAGTCAACGMTGATGATGTACRATACGTGCTATGATAGACGTTATAACTTAACGTCCATTCTTTCAACCTCGTATGATCGAGGCCTAAATGATTATTGAGTAGTAAACAAATTGTTTTTAAGGTATATTGTACAATATTATAATGTTTGGATTAAAAAATTTTGATCATCAATATATTATACGAATTATTATGATTATTGATATCTAATTTCCGAAGAAAAATTAAGRATATTGATAGCATTGGAAAAGTCTAATTAATAAATTATTGAAAGTTGTCAATGTGTATTTTAGAATAAATAATTATAGTTTATTATCTTAATATGACTGAAGAATTATATTGGTTATAAAATTGTATTTAATTTTTCAAACAATCCATTAGAATTGATAATATTGTGATAAATAATTATCTATAAAAATAAGATTTATTTCTGTTTAGTTTTTAACTGTTGAGTGAGCTACACAATATTATATCAGAAAATAGAACTTGTTTAAGTATTTAATAGAAACTAATAACATAACTTAATAGATAAATGATTGTGTTAGTATAATAAATAAATAGACAAGGCTAATGGTTTWTTTTTGTAWTTGTCAATGAATGATAATATTTTTATAAATTGATCCACTTATAAAATTGTCAAACAAAATATTTTTGGTATTTTTTTAATTTATACATAAATTTTACACAATATGATAAATCTAAAAAATAATTAAAACTGTACAAATATAACATACATTTTATTTTATGATGTTTTGTTATTTATTAGTATTTATACAAATATTATAAACTGTTAAAAGCTAAATACATTATATCTTACATTACTTCATTAATATCAATGATTATTTTATATATTTTTTTATGATTTAATACAAATGTATTTTTTATAATAATTTTTCGTGAAATGTACTTAAATGTATCTTAATATATTTCCTGGATTAAAATTTTTGGCTGTAAAAAAATCTAAAATATAACCTTGGTTACTTTTCAGTTAAATATTTAATTACTTCTATTCGTTTATTGGATTAAATCCAAAATTTTTACATCATTTTTTGTCATTTTAAAATTAAATAAATGACATAATGCAAAACATTTTATAAAATAGAACAATATTTATTTATGTTTGAATTACACATAATATAGCTTTAAAAAAAAAAAAATTAAAGACATTTTTTAAACAATGTCCATATCTCTGATTGATCAGCTTCACAGGCTTCACTACCAATGGAATATGATCTATGTCTGGTATTATAATATCTGCGACAGTTAAAACATGAACAATCTGGATTCTTTGATGGTCCAACATGATGATCTTGTTTTACGGGTGATTTCATAGGTCCAAATTTTGATGCCATCTTAGCAACTTGAGTTGTAACAAAGGAAGAATTTGATGGCTGTCTATACATAGGTGATTGTGAACAGTCGCTAAAGCTGCCCATATCATCGTTGATGATTTTTTCTTTAAACCATGGGCGTCTTGCTAGAATTTGATTTTTTTGAGAACTAATGCTATTGAAACTCCAGGCAGTCTCTGAACATTCGTCATCTGAACTACTACTTGTTGTGTCATCATAGTTTTTTGATTTGTATTTTTGATGTATATTTTCGGATTCGAAACTGTTTAAACTACTGTTTTCCAAGGTAGTTGAATCCATAAATGAAGATAAACCACAACTAGATGACTCGTAAAAAGAAGAATCAGATATCGTATTTGTAGAACTTATTGCTGACAAACAAGGGCTTCTTTGTAACATACTTTTATTTGATGTTATTGATTGACTTCGAGGCTTATGAGATTTTTTAAATATCTTTTTGCATTTAATTTTGACATCTGATAAATCAAGTAATGTGTCTGTATTTTTAGCTGTTAAAGCATYATCTGAATCTGAAGATTCTGTGCAATAAACATCAATATGCACAGTCCTAGCATGTCGTTTTTTATGTTTATCTAATTCAAATTTACGATTTTTTATAAAAATTTTGGCGTTTTCCTTAAACAAAAAAAAAAGCTTATCAGTGTTGAACATAWTATTAGTAAACAACTAAAATACCTTYGTTAAAACAGTTGAAGTAGAAGGGGATGTCTGACTAGACACATCCACAGTTTCTAGATGTTTTTTTGGTGGAACATTGGTACAAAAATGTGCTGTAAAACTTTGTGCTCTTCTAGCTGATATTGGGCTTCTTATACCACAACATACCTCACACTGAGGTGCTATATTAATGGTACAATCACATGCTGATCCACGAGATGAACTGCCAATACCAGAATCTGCCCTTTGAGGTGGCTGGGCAGTAAATACAATATTTCCTCGTTGAAATCCGTAACATGGTTGTTGAGACATTGGTAGATTGTTATTGGGCTGTTGTGTTATTTTTAAATGCGCATGAATAGACCAATCGTGCATTAAACTAGAATTATTATCGTTTATTTTTTTCTCCATTTCATAAATCACTATTTAATTTGTCACATAAGAATATTATGAGCGTACATTCGAAAGCTATGTTGTAGAAAATACTGGCCACTTAAAAGAGTYGAAAGTATCCTAATTCTCAGCTGAGATCTGTAGTTTTGGCATAGCATCAAACATACTGTTCAAAGCATGCTACTGTTGTTGAAGAGAGGGAACTAGTATTGCTTTCCAAAGGTCATAAATATGACAAATTCACCCACATACTGCATTCCTTAATTAAAACAGAATTTAWAATAATTTAACAACATAAATATTAATTGTACACCTGATACTAATTATTTATCTATCTATTGATATAAAATGTATGTTGATAATAAAAATCAAAACATAATATGAGTAATTTCTTCTGAAAATCTRAATTAATATAAATTATCTTTAAGAATGTTTCAGTTTGTTGTGCATCTCGGTAAAAATTAATTAAAATATATATTTGTATACATTTTAAATATTAAAATGTTAATAATAAAATATATATGACATTTGTAATCAAAATTAAATAAATAGTCTTWGTAGTATATCCAGAAAAGTAATGGCTTTAAGCCAACTGTAGTGTGCTAAAAAGATGCAGTTTCTATTTCCAGATAGTATAATGTAACAACTTGACAAAACATGCTATTTTTTTGATACCTCATAAATTTAATTAATAAGTATCAGTATCAAGGTTTAATATTATATTTTTGAGTTTAGGATTATATTTGGAAATTATCTAGACAAAAATGACTACACTACTTTTAGTAATAAGTAATATTTTACTAACACATCAGTACATGACACACACTTCAGTAATATTATGATAATGTACACTAAAAATCAGGCTATATTATATACACGTGACCTATTGACCCCTGTTGTTGTAAAATATTATRTGTGATTTAACAAATTGTGGAGAAACAACAATGTTGTTATTATTGCACWATAATGTTATGATGTTACTTTTTTATTCCCAGTTTTTAAGTTTAAAAAAAAGTAAACAAAAGTATCTATGCATTAATATGTTTATGATTTTACCAAATAATCTTAATTTAACAATTAATGAATAGTAATGTACAGTAATATTATTACTTATTATATTCTGCAATATTTTGGTGATAAAATATGTAAAAAAAATAAAAATAACTACAAAATGAGTTACGCCTCCTACTAAGAAGGAAGTAACTCAATTTTTCATTTTTTGTTTTATTTGCTTTATATTAAGTAATGTTCTACAAGTATACTAGGTATATTATAAATGTTAAATGACTGACTATTAGTATAAGTAGGTTTTTTTATTATTAATTATGTATAGCTTCTATTACAAAGATAATTAGCATATTCTTTACTTTTACATTTTATGTATTTTTATTTAATGGGCTACATTATAATGAGTTGCCCATAGTTGTATTATTACAAAATATTATTTTGAGTGATTTTACTGTCACTATATCGATGGTTGTTGGTGTACCTAGTATTTTTTATGAGATTCGGTAGAATAGATCTGCAAAGCACTATACAGTATTGTGTGTTGTCATTAAACATGGCATTTGTGATGCACATTGGGTTGTAATTCCTTGGTAAAAATTTATGATATGAGGTGAGGCATGTATGACCTTTTTATAATTTACTATTGACATCTGGATTTATTATCAATGTTAAAAATAAAATATTTGTTGTTATTTAACTAACAATTCACTAGTTTTTACTATTGAACAATGTAGTAATTTAAGAGAATTATTGAATTATAGTTAAATTATTATTTTGATGGTTTATGTAATATAAAAATTATTATTTTCATTTTTCAACAGGCACAAGCCAATCTTTCAGAATCTAGTTGTAAGTTGGATCTTTTACGACAATCACTTGAACACCGTCGCCAAGAGCTTCCAGCTAATTCAACAACAGCTATCCAATTAGTACGAGAATTACAAAGCGCTCAATCCGCTAGTCCAACTCCAAATCATGCTTATGTCAGCTTACAGCCATTCCTAAAAACAGAAAGAAATGTGATACCAGAAAAAGCTACTGTATCGAGGTGTGCTGCGGTTACTGGTAAACTTGAAGTTAGGTTGGTATTTCAATTAAGTTTTTAAATAGTAACATATTAATTACTTAAAATATTCACAGGTTAATGGGATGTCAAGATTTGCTTGAAGAAGTTCCAGGTAGATCAAGACGAGAAAAAGACAATCCTGGAGATTTGAGATCTTTTGTAAAAGGGGTAACTGGGCGTAGTTCTAGTAAATCATACAATATTAAAGATGAAATTAGTAGTAAGTTATAAAATAAGAATATGTATATATTAAATTTAATAATTAATTAATTCTYATATTTGCAGATGAAATCATGGCTGTTATTAAATTAGATAATCAAACTGTTGGTCAAACTAGTTGGCGACCATGTTCTCAACAAGCATGGGACCAAAGGTGATCTTTTATAATTAAATATAGATTATTTTTTCGTAATCAATAAATAACTCTAAAATTGGAAAATAAATCTTTTTTTTAATGTATATACTTTAAAATATTTATCAAATTGGTAGTTCAATTATATATTTTATATATAATATAATATTGATTAAAAATAAGTAATCTAAATCTTTAAAATAGTGAAAATAGTTTAATTTTTTTATCATTATAATTTTTTTTTTTTAATAATTGTTTAAGGCATCAACAACAAGGTTAGCCGGCGTTACATTTTTTAAGAATTCAAATTAAATTGCATTACATTAAATTACTTAATTGCTACCTTCTACATATATATATATATATATATATTCATACATTGTTTTATATTCTAATATTTTAAATAAGTTGACACAGTTCTGTTATGTTGACGAAATCGATATGTTTTTTGAATGTCTTGAAAGCGAGTGCTAGCATCTCGTAAAGTATCACAGGTAGTTTCTGTTCTATACTCCTTTCATTGAACTGTCAATATATGACTAATGAGTATTCTGCACGTCGGRCATGATGGTAGKTCTTCTTTGGYCATGAGGTATCCATGAGTCATGCGAGTGTGGCCTATTCGTATGCAGACAAAAATTATTTCGTCCTTTCTGGACATCTCAAATGTTTTAAGCCATGGTAATATAGAATGCTTTATCTTTCTGAGCTTATTATTATTGCATTTATCTCAGAGATTTTGCCATTCATCCATTTACTTGAATTTGGTTGAGTTGTTCAWATCTTGGTCAGATATGTGGGACATACTTCAAAAATGGAAGTACCTTTWGTTTCTTTACTTTTTAAGTCATCTTCTTCGTTGCCTATTATGCCAACATGTCYGGGAATCCATGCAAACGATATACTATTTTTACATTYATTGAKTTCATTAATTATTTGGCAGATAATTGGTTGCKACATATTTAAATTGTATATACTGATTATCATTGCTTAAAGAATCGAATATTATTAGATATTTCTTATTGTTAAAGTAAAATAGTTTTATTATATACAAGGCTTGTTTCAAATATACRGTCTCTAAGCTCTCGGGAGCCAAGAAAAATTATATTTTTCTAAGTTAGTAGCACTACTGTGACTGTTAGTTTCTTTTCTTTCCAAGAAAACTTAAACTTACCAGATCAGACATTTAATGCCTTCATGACACACGAACAAGKTTAACGCGTCAACTTTGTCAACATCCGCTTTCTTTGCAAATACCAACCCATCAAAACTTCCTATGAGGGTTTGGAGCTGTACGCTGAAAACGAACGGAATTTTTGAAGTTGGTAGTGACATGCGATGAAGCTGGGCCTACCACTTTACACCATTGTCAAAAAAGCAGTCAATTTAAATTGGCAATTGTCTTCTAGGACAGAAAAAGGGTCTTTCTCATAGAATTTATGCCAACTGGSACCACCATTAGTTTGGCCTTGTATTATGAGACGCTAGAAAAATTACATCAATCCATAAAAACCGAAGACCTGGAATGCTAACAATATTCTTATTTTGCATGATAATGCTTGACTTCTTGTGGCACACAACACATAAATAMTTTTGGATAGGTTCAGTTGGGACTTTCTCCCCACTCTCCTACTGCTMAACACCATGTCCTATTTRACTATAATTTGTTCACCGACATAAAGAAACWTAATATGGGTGGGAAAAAACTGAATTCAGACAAAAAAGTGTAGACTGCAGTGAAATAYTACTTGAAAAAAAAGKTAGGMTGATGGTTATWTGWTGCTGGCATACAAAAGCTTCCAGATTGGCTATAATAGTATCTCAATATTAYCATGTAAAAAATGTTTAGTGAAGCTCTTTTTTTGATTTTTTATAATTACGGAGACTTACTTTTGGAACAAGCCCCGTATATTTTYTATTTACAACATTTATTAAYTATTGAATATAAAAAACTATCTAAAGACTAAAAAGTTTTATCTTAATGATTTAAGTTAAGATTTCYTCAAAAATTAAAATTTAATAATATGGATTTCAACTTGTTATAGATTTTCTATTGACTTGGATAAATCTCGAGAGCTTGAGATTGGTATATATTGGAGAGATTGGCGATCATTGTGTGCCATTAAATTTCTTCGATTAGAAGAATTTATTGATGATATTCGACATGGTATGGCTTTACAATTGGAACCACAAGGACTTCTTTTTGCAGAGGTAATTTGCATATTATGTTAAGTTATTAGTTATACATTATATAATATAAAATAATGRCATAGAGTAATATTTAGACATCTTACACCTACCTTTTGTTTAATTTATAGACAGTTAACATTTAAAAGGACACCCTCTCACACGTGTTGTCTTCATCTTAAAACGTAAAACATACCAAAAACTGTTGTTTTGCCCGGTAAAGAAAGTTATTGTTATAATTAAGAAATAAAATATTCACACTCTCAAGACAAATTATGTTTATTGTGCAACATTTCATTACACGTTATCTATTCGAAAGCCTTTGGGTCTCTGACATTCAGCCTGCTATACATCTAGGGTATTAACTATTAACCCTTGCCTTGGTAATTGTTTGAGCTCTTAGCAAGAATGGTTTTCATGACTTAAGTCTTGGGTTGAGAATTCAATTTTTATTAGCAACTCCTGGTGTTTGTTTCTTAGTTATGACTGTAGCCTTCTTAGTTCTTTACCACACAACAGTTTTTGTTATGTTGTACGTTTGTAAGATGGAGACAACACTTGTGTTTTGTTAATATTATCTTATAAATAATAAATTGAATAACAAGGACATAAGTTATTTGGTTATTTTAATTAAGAGCAATATTTAAAGTTAACACTCATTAAAAGATTTTAATTTGGAATAATTTTTCATATTTTKAACTTTAAACATAATATAGTAGAAACTCAATTAATTGTCACCCTCAGGGCCGTCCCGATGACGGTCTATTGAATATTCAGTTAACAAAATTTTTTCAATTTACACATATATTTTGAAATGTGATTTACAGATAAAACTGATGACATAATTCTCTCCACTAATATTTAGTTGCCGATTGCCAAGCTGAAATTTAAATTTATCAATCCATCGCTTAGGTACTTGCTTTCAAGTTTRGATTGCCATCTAATTTTTCATTCTTTTCATTTGCCTTGATCATTCTAATACGATCTTAAGAGTATGTGATACTCGCATATGTTGTTTCTGTCAATTTTACATCTTAAAATACTCATTATTCGCTTTAAAATTAAAATATGATAAAAAGCATATGAGGTTGTTTAGATAATAATGTTACCTTTAAATTTTGTTTGAGGTCAATTCACTCTAAATTTTAAACTTAGAGAGCTACACGTGTTCTGCTGAGTGTAAAATTTGCTAGGTTACGCACTTGTAAGACAGAGACAACATGTGGGTATCACGTCTTATTAAAGTGGATTCAATTCCAGTTTCAATTTCAATCGGAGCTACTGCTCCTCATCAAGTCAAAGTCAGTTAGATTAAATTTAAAACGATTCAATTTGTTTGTCATTACTTAATTGCATATTTTTGCGATTGGTAGTCGCCGTGTTAGGCACTGCKATGAATTTATCRTTATTACATTATTAACTTTCTTTTTTGATGATGACAATGACTGTAAATCGTATGATGATTAAACRAGTTTCTACTGTATTAGATTATGGTCTGAAGATTTGCCAATTCTCAATCTGAATTATAATAATCTTTAGTTTGATTTAATGTTCGAACAAATTATTTTTTATATCTTACAAACTATCAAGATAAATCTGTAAAAAAAATCAGTTATTTACCAGCTGAGTAGTTGTTTACACCTAATTCTTAGGTATTACCTGTATACTTTTATTATAACATAAATATTCTATGGAGGTCTTTTAGTGAATATGAATTAACTAAAGTATTACATTTTTTAAACCATACTTCAATTTTGATTACTAAAACATGGATTGAAAAAAAAATTGCCAGATAAGAGTTTATTATTTACAACTTGTTCCATAAAAAATGAAGCTAACTAAAACATTTATCAAAATTGAWTTTTTTTTAATATAATCTATTTGTAATGATTTATAGAAAAAAAAAATATGTTGTCTATTCTTTTTTTTGTATATGTTAACTTGGAAAAGTTGGAACCGCTAAACATGTATTTAGTTATGTTATGTGTTAGACAGAAACAACACATATGGGTTAACGTCTTATTATTGTAGTTTCAAGTTATATTAATAGTTGTTCTGAATTCTAAAACTATGTTTTATAATGTATTTATATTTTAGATTAAATTTTTAAATCCTATGATATCACGTCAACCTCGTTTACGAAGACAACGTAAAATATTTAAGCAGCAAGCTAAAAACTTCCCTAGAGCTAATCAAATGAACATCAATATAGCTGCTTGGAGTCGACTTCTTAAAAGATCATCACCTTCAATTCAAAACTCACCATTAGTTCCTGCACAGCAACACTCAAGATCACATTCACATTCTGACAGCTCTACAGGTTTATACATAATTAATTATTTTTGTATACCTAAGTAACTAATTTAATAGTGATAATTAAATCTAACTTAATTTGATGTAATCTTTAGATGGCGGTGATACAAGACTCGAAGAAAAATGTACACCTGGTGAAACACCTGAACCAATTAACACTTGTGGATTGGCTGGTGCACGTCCATTAGGTTTAGGGGTTGCAGTTCTACCACCATTGCCACCCACTATCACTGAACAGCGAAATATATCTACGGGATCTCCCACATTCCTACCTTCAACAGTTATAGCTGCAAATAAGAGAATACCAGCTGTACCAACCGTGCCACCTCCAAGGCCACCTCGACAATTAGATCAAGAGGTGAGTATTTCATTCTTGTTTAAAATGCAATTTTAAAAATATTAGCTATAAAGCTTTTTGAACATCAATGCACCAGGGGGGTAACTTGTATGATATGTATAGCTGCAGAATGCGTTGAAGGAATTTGACTTTTTACATGACGACGAGCAACAGACATTACCACCAGTTCATAGGAGACATGTTATGACAATGTCTGTGAGCATAGAAAGTGTTGGAAGTTCAACTTTGGGAACACCGCAGCCGTCTCCTCTTGTAGAGTTTCCCCAGGACGAGGTACATACTCTTCCTACACCACTGTGCTAGGCTTATCTAACACGCGTGTGCCTAACCGGTATATCATCTATTTCTAACTGATATTGTGCACGAATGATTTTGTAGTAGACTTACTATTAGATAATATATAAAATGAATAAAACTACTAACATTTCTATTTAAACAACAACATATATTTTTAAAATTTGTTTTCATTCGGCTAAACATTAGTTTAAAGATAACTTAGGTGTGCTATAAGTATAAATATATAATTTTTAAAGATAGAATGATCTTTTAAATTATAGCTTATTAATTGCTTTAATTTTAATGTTAACAGTAGAAGATTGAGTTTTACATTAATATTTATGATTAAATAATTGGTGTAATATGTTTAATTAGTTGAAGATACAAATAAATTCAAAACAATGAAAATATTAGTTAGATAACAAGTTACAAGTAATTATTAATTTTCCTAWAAAAAATATATTGTTTGGAAAATGAACATTGACTCCATTATAACTTGGTTTACAGTACTCTGAACTATTTATTAACTCATAMATTTTTATCATAATATTTAAATTTCACTATAGTTTTTTGTTGAGAGTTAACTTTGAGTTTATTTTTCTTAATTATTTTGCTTTAAATATTTAGTGTAGTCAATAAAAGAGCTTTTAAAATTTGTATTTTCATTAAACTAATTTAGGCAGTAAATATTAATAATAATTCGATATTAGATTTATATATAATATATTAATATTTTTTAAGCTAAATACCTTGTATTGCTTATTTATTTTTAATTTAATGGTTAAGCCCTATATAACACTTAATAAGTAATAATTATCTAAGTATGTAGTTTAAACAGTATTTCACATATTTTAACATTTTGTATTGTAAAATATGAATATCTAAGAATATTACTATACGTTAAAGAAGGATTTAATTTCTTTTCTGTTTTATGCTGAAAAAATAGGATCTCTATTAACTCCCTATAGAATATAAAGTAAAACATGTTTGTATACATCATACTCTTTAGTTTTATTTGTGTCCTAACCTAGTCTTAGCTAATTTGTTCACATATAGAGAAAAACAAAATAACTTGTACCTTGTTGCACGCGGGCAATGCACTGTGTGCGTTAAAGCAGAGTCAGGTTAGAAATCATACGCACTTGACCGTACAAGCTAGGCCATCACATAAAACTACTATTTTATGAAATGGACAATAATTATCATTTATATAATGTAAAAAGTGTATTATTCACAATATATAATATACTTTTTATTAAGTGAATGCAATTTATACATTTTTATTTTTAAACATATAAAAATAGTCTAGTTATTTTTAGATGTTTACTAGCAATCAATCATTTCACCTTTGTGTACATTGTAACATAAAAAATTTGAATTATCGAGATTTTTTTTTATTATAATTTGATATTGTTATTATATCTACATTTATGATTTTATTTTTAATTAAGGAAATTAAATAGTAATAAATAATAATAAATATTTATTACTATGCKGTTTTAACTAACTAACATAAAGCTCGAGTTCTGAAATGCTAAACAAAATATTATTATTAATTACCACATTGGCGCAACTAGGATTCAGGATTTTTAGCACTCTTTGTTTTTCCCGGTCTAACTATGTATATTTTAACGAAATATGATCAATATTATGTTTTATTTATGGAAAAAAATTAATGCTTTTGATCATAAAATTAATTTGTTATAATTGTTATAAATAAYTCCATATTTCTGTAGTTGCTATAGTTGATAGTTGACTAGCATTATAATACACATTATGGATTGCTTACAAGCTATTTCTAGCCAATGGATCATATCCAAAAGCACAATAGATACCACTGTAAAGATATGCATTAGGATGGACTGCTATTATTACAAATAGACCCAATGAGTTTAATATTTTTAAAAATGTTAGATACTAAATAGTAAATAGGTATACATTGTTTTTACCACTTATATGAAATGTATTGAAATTTGAATAAATTATTAAGTTTTCATGTATAGAATATTATAGGTTTGTAACTTGTATGCTTTGTAAGGCAAAATTACAATTTAGCAGCACCCCTTGTATTAGATGTTTAGTTGCGCCTATGTATTAGCATTTTTAATTCAAATGCTTCAAATTTTGATTTTGCCGAATAATTAATTTGATTAATGTAATGTACTTATTTGATGTTTGATGTTATTATTGAGTGGTCGTCTCAATCTTAAATTACCAATATGCCTTATATTTATTACATAATACTTCAAAGGGTTTGTAAAGGAAAAATTATTTTTAGCCCCCTTTTTTATTTATTTTTCTAAATCCGAAATGAAGACAAAGTGCGTTTTTCTATTGATGATAATTATAATATAACTGTATTTAATTCAGTGAAACCTCGGCATCTCAAAGTTCCAGTGTGTCGATTTTTTTTCTTTTGGTTTCTTAAGATTTTGAGATACCGAGGTTCCATTGTACCAAGTATTATATAAATGTGTATATTGATTTTTTCTCAAGTATTTATTTATTTATTAAAACAAAAAAAATCATAGTTTTTGAAGAAATAAATGTTAATTATTTAGGCTGTGCTGAAAGGGTTTGCACGCCACATATTTGAGACCACTGTGTAACTGTAATTTAACACTATAATTGGCCATTWWTAACATGTATTTTTTTTAACCAGGCATTATCTTATCCTTGTATTGTATAATTCAAATATTTTACATTTAAATATGTAATAAATAAAATCAAACTCTTATTCAAGTATGATAATGCTTGGTTTAAACAACTACCCTACAATGTATGAGATGTATTGATCAATTAATTAATTGGTATATTTTTTTGATTTTTGTAGTCACCACTATTTAGTCAWCCTGTTTCTCGTGTACTCGATTACCGGGAAAATGAACCAAAAGCATATCATTTTACAACATCTAATAACGTGCAACCAGCAGAATCTAATAAAACCACATTATCATCTAGTGCTTTCAAATTTTCTCAAATGTCAATGGATGACTTTAGACTGCTGAGTGTATTGGGTAGAGGTCACTTTGGAAAGGTAAATTTTACTTATGCATATGTATAAGTAATAACAATTAATATTATTATTTATATTTAATTATTGATCTTATTTCCCAATCTTCAGGTAATTTTGTGTCAACATAAAAATTCTAGTGAATATTTTGCTATAAAAGCACTGAAAAAAGGTGATATAATTGCCCGTGATGAAGTTGAATCATTGTTGTCCGAAAAAAGAATATTTGAAGTTGCAAATGATATTCGACATCCATTCCTTGTTAATTTATTTGCTTGCTTCCAAACTGATGTAAGGCTAACACAACATTATTTTATTTTGTATAATGTTATAATTTTTAAAAACCTTATTTTAATTATTATATTTCTAATATATTTTTCACAGGCTCATGTTTGCTTTGTAATGGAGTATGCTGCTGGTGGTGATTTAATGATGCATATACACGCTGATGTGTTTACAGAACCGAGGGCAGTGTTTTATGCTGCTTGTGTCGTTTTAGGATTACAGTATTTACATGAGAACAGTATAATTTATCGGTTAGTGTATTAAAATGTTCATTGTTTTTAACACGCTAATAATATGATATATTTTCATATTTTAGCGATTTGAAATTAGATAACTTATTATTGGATACTGATGGGTATGTGAAAATTGCCGATTTTGGATTGTGCAAAGAAGGTATGGGATATGGTGATCGAACTGGTACATTTTGCGGAACACCYGAGTTTTTAGCACCAGAAGTTCTCACTGAAACGTCATATACACGTAGTGTTGATTGGTGGGGCCTTGGAGTCCTCATATTTGAAATGCTTGTTGGAGAGGTAAATATGCTAGTGTAATACCAATAATATTATCCWTACAATTAATTATGTTTCTATCACCTATAGTCACCATTCCCAGGTGATGACGAAGAAGAAGTATTTGATTCTATTGTGAATGATGAAGTTCGGTATCCCAGGTTCTTGTCATTGGAAGCAATTGCGATTATGCGAAGAGTATGTTATTTTACTTGCATTCAACTWATGAGAATTAACAAAATTATATAATTATATATTTTTTATCTAGCTTTTACGCAAAAATCCGGAACGAAGATTAGGATCAAGTGAAAGAGATGCAGAAGATGTGAAAAAACAGGCATTTTTCAGACAAGTTGTTTGGGATGATTTGTTACAAAGAAAAGTTAAACCACCATTTGTACCTACAGTTGTAAGTACTTATATTTTATTGTTCAACTTAATAGTTATATCTAGGRCTAACCATTGATTGGCGTTTCACCTGGGCCAACACGTAAGGRAAAAAACTTGCWTTAAATGCCCTTGTCCAGTTGATGAAAATATTTTTATCAAAAAAAACATATTAAATTAAATATAAAACTGCTCATTTACAAATCTTTAATTAAGCCCATGTGGACATATACAACTWATGTGGTCTACAACTTTGGGGCAATGTTAAAAAATCCAATTTTAACAAAATACAAACCGTTCAAAACAAAATATTGTRCTCCATCWCCAATGCCCCATTTTATATTTCTAATTTTACCCTTTATTCTGACTTAAAAATCAAAACCATTCATAAAGAAGCTAAAACGTTCTATAAACGTTTTTCAACAAACTGCATTCTCATCTTAACCGTCTTATATTTGGCCTAGCCACTCATACGATTCCTGTAAATCCCTTACGGCATCTCAAAATAAATTGGTGCAGAAATCTTAATGAATAATGAAAAAATAAATATATATTATATCAAATTATATTTAAGCAAAAGGAAGTGTGATCACTGGATTGTTTCTCCCCTCACATTATTCATGTTTTTYTAAATTGTTGCACATATTCTTGTTATGCCTTTGTATATAGATTGTATATTCTCTAATGAAAATTAAAAAGAAAACTTTATAGTTTTTTGCATGACYAACTATTTTATTTTTCTAGAATTCTGTTGAAGATGTAAGTAACTTCGATGAAGAATTTACTTCTGAAAAACCACAACTAACTCCACCCAAAGATCCAAGACTGTTAAATGATGATGAACAACAGTTATTTAAAGATTTTACATATACAGCTGACTGGTTTTAACAGGGTTACATAAAAAAAAACTTTTTTTCATTTTTAATTGATATTTGTATTATAATCGATCAAATTATAATAGCTAAAGCTAGCTAATCATATAGTTTAGATGCGATTTAAGTTATTATTATTTATTATGTATTTGTTCGTTTATTTTTYTTTTGCGGACATTTTTCCAAAATGATTGTGATTTATATTTTAAGTTGGAAAACTTGACACAACAATGCTGCTCAGATTAAATTTCTTTCACAAATAGTTACCACACAAATCTTTTAAATAGAAAAGTCTAACCATTCATAGAAAAAATTCTCTCAATATTGAATAAAAAAAACAATTTGATGACTAATTTTTAACTACCACTATTTAGAATGTAAGGTATTTAGATATGTTGTAAAATTTTAAAACTGTTTTTTTATAAATTTAGTGTTAAAGTTTATATACAAATAACTTTATAATTTTGTGCAAAACATGCATTCAATTTATGTATAAAATATAGAGAAAAAAAGTAATTTTTATATTATATTTAACACGTTTTTATGGAAATGTGAAATAATTATTATTGGCATGTTTTAAATAGCAAACTATAAAAACTCTTTTTATTAGCTAACTGCTACATTGGTAGATATTATTGTTTACTATGCCACACATTTGTCTTATGTTAAAAATTATTGTTTTATTTAGCTCAATTATTATTGACAATAATATGCTCACTTAGTATCTTATGATTAGTATATTATTTTTGTTGTTCTAAAAGTTGATTTAAAATTGTTAAGGCTTTAAATATTTCAATATTATATTTTAATAATAAAACTTACTATTATGTAATGGACAAAATATAATCATAATTATTTATTGATTATGTATTATATTATATTGAATATCATTTTTTATAATAATAAGTTTTTGTTTGCATTCATTCTTTTAACTCTTCTATGTTCATATCTTGTGATATGGACCATCGGACAATATTACATGAATATCATAGGTAAAAACCTTAGCAGCCATGGAATCGAGTGCATGGTTATGTTCACTCATAAGGGCCTACATTATTTATCTTATTAAATACAAATAAGGATAACTTTGTTAATAATTAGTGGTACATTTCCTACTTAAAAGTAAGGGGTGGTCATAAATTCCCTCAATCGTAATTACCATTGAAAATACAAATCAAGATTTTTCAAGTAGTTAGGTTTTAACAWATAAAAATTATATGAAMAYYKTTTTTTTAAGTAAGTATTTTTAGTTTATTATTTGGATGAATTAGATATTTCAACGAAAAATAATGATTTTAGTTATTTTTTTGTAACTTAAAAATATTATTCGTGGATTCTTGAATTATGTTTTTTACACACACTGGGAGTAAAGGTGATTTTTCTAAGTGATGTCCTTCACAGATCTTAAACCAGGAATTGGTTAAAACCTTTTGCCTTTAATTTGGCCTCAGTAGTTATTAATGTCTGCAGGTACATGCCAAGTAGACATGTAGATAACCGTGTAAGGATTATAAATGCTTACTATAACGTTCATTATTGTGTTTAAAGAATAAAGACAAAAAAATATGATATTTTGGACACCAATACCTCGACACACCGATCCGGAGACCTTTGAATCGTTTTTCGTGTGAATTATTGTCCATTGATTTCAACTTTGAGACTTAGACACACCCGATTCTACAACGCAATGATCTACACCCAATAGTTTTGATAGATACATTCGAAACCAACTAGGTACCATTTTTGTTACCTAGGAACCTATATTATAACCAATACTGTAGTAGGGCGAATAATCCCTACGTTTTTTATTATTGTAATTATAAAATTAAGATGTCATGGATACCTTCAAAACTAATGAATAAAAACAAATTACGACAGCCAATCATTATTTAAATGTAGGTATTATATAAATTTTTTTTTCGTGCGACTGGCCGACTTGTAATAAGTATATAATATAAAGGTTCAACTGTAACATTCGTATGAAAATACGATATAATTCTTCTAGCCAGCGCGTGTAATATAATCATATTTTTATACAATAATATCATAATTTTATGTTTAATTCGTTGCGTTCGTGTGGGTAGATATGTATGATAATCTTTAGTCCTGCAGTGTACCGGCGGCAGCAGCAGGCATGACATGGATCACCATAGTTTCCTGGCTGCGGTTGATAGACTAAGGCGTCAACGTAAAATGCTCGAGGCAGTTGTTCTTGCACTCGACGAACGCCTCTCCGCATCCAACTTCAGTCGGCGGCAGACTGGTAAAGGTCTTGGCGTAATGTATGCCGTTGGCAATGCCGTTGGACACGTAGCACACTAACGCCAAAGATCCGCAACCGCTGTAACATACGGCTGCGATGAAGATRTTGGCATGGGTGACCGGTGACATCATCAGCAGCGCGACGAACAGGGACGGCCACACTACGTTGCTCCGCGACTGCATTATATCGCCGGTATTATTAAAATTGACAAAATACCGGAACTGGGTAGGTTAGGTTAGGTATCTATATCGATGTCGTATTCGCGAATATAATATCTATTTATCAGTATAATATTGTTCTGGCGATATTATTGCACGCGATGGACGTCCAGTACAAAACACCGCAGAGCGCCGTAGTCTTATTATTGTATGCTGTGACCTGAAAATCGGATAACAAAACAAAACGACATTATTGTTAAATATGTACACTCACTATATTAAAATATATCATTATGTTATTGTGAAAGGCGGTGGAAAACTCTCCCGATGGTAAACTCTCCAGGGTCAAAATTATGTTTACCTAAAGTAAACTCTCCCGGGTTAACTTTATATGGTTTGCCTGTAGGAAGTATGTAAACTCTCCCGAGTTGTTTTGAATGTTAMAACATGTTTTTAGAAAAAAAAATAGATTCCCTAACTTTTTTTAAATCTGTATGTTCTTRTATTATCAAATTTTAACATTTATACGTATATTTTGTATTTGTAACTTATATCATTATTATTATTATTGACTATTTTTAAAAGAAACTTAAATGTATATTAGATTTTTTGAAATTTTATTTTTTATTCTATTTTGACTATAATATTATAGCTCATAGCAGCTAAAGACATTAATTTATATTGTTACTATAATATATGATTCACTATTTTTAAACGAAACTTAAATGTATATTAAAATTTATTTTATGATTTTTACTAGACCGGAAGAGTTTACATGTTTCCATCAGGTAATACAGGAATAGATCCGGGAGAGCTTACACGTTTCCGTCAGGTAGTATAGGTACTGGAGTAGACCCGGGAGAGTTTACAATCGCCCATTGTGAACCTATACCTCCCCGCAGAAACAAGAAAAAAAAACTTAACCTTGAACTTTTCTTGTTTTACGTGCAAATATGCGTATTGCCACAGCCTGTTAAAAATCGTATTATTAAAGGTMTTTGCATTGTTATACAACTGTTGCTGTGAACACAATATGTTGGGCGTATAAAAGATAAAGCCGATAAAGATGAACCCGTGGGTATACTATCGTTTGATTTGGAAAATATAGTTTAAGTGTTTTAAATACCCATCCGTGACTTTATACTTTGGTGTACACCGCAAAGGTCTATTTGACGAGTCGTTAAAATGCGATGAGATTGTTTCCAATAGCAAAATTGTGGCSAACGTCTTCTTTTTCTATCTCCCTCAAATTTCGTGARCTTATAAAGGACAGATGAATATTTTGATACTATATCATCTAAAATACTATAAAGTGTAAGAAAAATTGATAAATATAAATGTGTTATAATAATGGCTCTAAAAAACGTATACACTAGACAGTGGTGGTCTTTGACAAATTCCAGGGGGGGGGGCGAAATATTATTCACATTAAATACAATAAGTACCTACTCAAAAATGTATGTCATGTAATAATTTTATATTTTATATTTAACAAGGGGGAGGGCGATCCACCCATCGACACTAAATATACTATCTGTATTAGGTACCTATCCAACTTTACTATTCGGGTTAAATTAATCTATCTTTCTATCGTTTTCCATTTCGCTTCATTTTAAAATATAACATAATTAATTAATAATTTATTTTATTATTTTAAACTTCTGACAGTATTTTTGGTGAAAAAGAAGAGATTTAGACAGATCTGACAGATTCAATAAAAGCTGAAAAATTTAAAAACCGACGTAAATCTTATATTGTTAAAATTGGTGCAATCGTATTTACCTTCAAAACTATATCCATAATAATAATGAAAGCAAATCATAAAAGTAATTATTATTGTAGGTAATAAAATTGTGTTCATATGCATTTGATTTTAATGTTTTTTTATTTTAAACATTTATTTTTATGAAGTTTGTTATATGTGCTATATTTCTACTAATTATAAAATAATAACATAATCATATTAATCAGCAAGAACCATCAATTTATTTAAACAAAAAAAGTTCAATTTCCGTTAAGGAATATTTTGATNTTATTTTAAACTTCTGACAGTATTTTTGGTGAAAAAGAAGAGATTTAGACAGATCTGACAGATTCAATAAAAGCTGAAAAATTTAAAAACCGACGTAAATCTTATATTGTTAAAATTGGTGCAATCGTATTTACCTTCAAAACTATATCCATAATAATAATGAAAGCAAATCATAAAAGTAATTATTATTGTAGGTAATAAAATTGTGTTCATATGCATTTGATTTTAATGTTTTTTTTATTTTAAACATTTATTTTTATGAAGTTTGTTATATGTGCTATATTTCTACTAATTATAAAATAATAACATAATCATATTAATCAGCAAGAACCATCAATTTATTTAAACAAAAAAAGTTCAATTTCCGTTAAGGAATATTTTGATATAACTTTCATTGAAAATGGTCCTGTAATTTTTATCTCATAGAAGTCGAATAAAGAAAAATTTGTTTGATAATTTCTATACATTTAGTATTATAGTAAAAATTACTGCTATTACCTCCTCAGTCCTCACCAATTATTTATAAGTATGAAAATTGTTATGAAATGATTATTATTTCACATTCTATTATAATCATTGTTATTGTAATTTTCTGATATGACACTGAGTTGTTGAGATTAATGACTAGGTGGTTATATGAAYTTATATTATAATTTACGATTAATATAATGTCAATGATAGTGTGAGGGTCCGTAGACTTAATTTAATCAATATAATTCATTTTAATGAGAAGTATTAATTATTCTTGTACACTTCTATTATAATAATATAATGTACAGCTATATCAAGTTGTATTTTTATAGTTTCATGGTTAGGTACACAATAAAATAGAAGTGTATTCATAATTTATTGAATGTATTCAATATAATATGATATCACTTACTAGTTATTAATAATTTAGTAAGTAATCATATTATATTGATATCATAACTTATTTTAACGAGATATAACAACAAATTAAAATCATAGATATTGAGACATGGCATAATAGTCGCATGAATTACACAATATTAATT